TATATATATATATATATATATATATATATATATACACCCACTATATATTATATAAAAAGTTGCATTTGCTAGAAATAAAGGCAGCATATCTTAAAATTTTTAGCTCTTCAATAAATTGATCTTGTTTTAGAGATGTTTACATATTTAAAAAAAAAAATAAGACAGACATACTGATTTAGAAAATATTTTTTGCTGTGTTGTTGCTTCAGGCTATTCAGAGACTAAGAAAGTATTGTATGAAATGTTTTATGCAGCTGTTCGGAGAAGAACGTTTTTGAGAACTCACTGTTGATAGTCTCCATCTTGAGATTCTGCTTGGTTAAGGGTTTATAGATACAGAAACCGTCTGCTTTATAAATATGCAAAGCAAAGACTTGGAATAATAAGCCTGGTTTCCTGTGTTTTTTTTTGTCTTGTAATTTTGCATCTAGACTAAAATGCTGTTGTGCAATAAGCTACATTCCCTGTAGAGGATTCAACCAATCTTCACAGTATCACTTACATTAACAGCTTCAAACAGTACGGATGCAGTGGGGTTCTGCTGAGGGAGAAGCTTGAGTATGTGGGTGTACACACTCAGTGCACTCCGCCGGGCTCATTATTCATTAAAGAGCAGGGGAAAGAGACGGCAGACAAGTCTGAACCAGACGTGTGCTCTCCACTATGTAGTGATTTGAGCCTGTCCTCCTGAATTACAACTCTAGAGAGATCAAAAGTCAGCTTCATCTAAAGTCTATTTCAATTGCAGTGCGAATCTACCTGTCTGCAGTTTGACATCCACAGTGCTCGTATCAGTTTAAGACAAGATGCAGTGACTAAGCAACTAGATCTGATCTTAAAATGTCCTCAAGTCTCGGTGATCAGGAAAAAACCTTGGATGGTTCTGTCTTTCTTTAGTTTAGGAAGGAAAATGGTTTAGAGTGCTTAAGTTTGCAAATTACACCATGTTTAAAAGTTCGGTGTCAGATTGATCTAATGCATATTAATTAGGTTTACATGATTGGTAATTCCAGGAAGGTTACCTAGCAACATTAGCATGACCTAAATAATATTCATCATCATGTCCTCACAGAAAGTCCATCATTATCAAGAGATTACAAATAGTGAAACATATTTTATAGGAAATCATCATCTCCTGTCTGTGTGCCCGTGGGAGGCCAGATTTTATCACACAAACAGTAAGCCTGCTGTATTTCTGCATATACTGCTGTTTTTCGTGCCGCAGGATGAGGTCTCATTATTACCTTTTCAGTTGGTGTGAGATCCTCCTTGTTTGGAAAGTCCTCCCGGTGTTTCGAATCTGGGTCAATTCCCTCCTGCTCCAAATATTGCACATTCATATTCAGCAGCCACGCAGCAGTGCGGTTCAACGCATTGGGATTCACAGGAGATGGAGCCTAATAAAAGTTCATTCAAACACACACACAAATACATTATTGTATCATAATTAGCCATGCTAACATCTATATGAGACTCAAATTAGATTTCACTCATACACACAAACAAGTGCCTAAAAACTTTTCAAGGTGACAACAACACTTGATAATTTTTTTAATGAAGATTAATTCTGCAGACATCAAAGGAACAGTCTGGACAATGTGAGCAGTCATTTAATCACTAGCCCAGTGTTTGCACTCAAGCAATTAATTCTGCTTGTCTGCTCTGTTCCTTTCGCCTTTGACGGCGAGAGGGCTGTGCGGTCGTCTCAACCAAAGAGCCTCGTATGATTGTTGCGATGCACCAAAGGCTCATTAACCCCTGAGAGATCTGAGTGCCAATTTGTTTTAAGGATATCAGCCGAGTGCTAGATAATTTGGTGATATCTAAATTAGCTGTGGGAATGTTGCAACTAACGGACCAAGAGAGACCTATCTCTTGATAACACAGAACTTTGAAAATCTTTTTCTTGACTGTAGCAATAATAACAATGATTCGGTTTACAACATTTCTGAAAAAATGTGAGCGGCGCCTACCTCGCAAAACCTGCCACCACAATGCTAGTTGTCCGTGTGTTGCTGTGCGGTTGCTGGGGTGTTCTGAGTGCTTTTTAGCATGTTGATTGCTAGGGTTAACTGTTGGGTTGCTAGGTGGTTGCTTACTAGGACAATTCAAGAAGAGCCGACCCTCAATCCTCAACGATATTTTGATCTCCAGATATAACTTGGGTCTTTAATGCAAGTCTATTTTATTTTCTAAAACAGTTTATTGTCTAGGCAAAAATCATGTTTAATTTCCTAAAAAACAAATAAATAAACAACAGCAACATTTGTGATGGCATATGGAGGCTAGCACATGATGTGGGGAAAAAAACAGATATAATGGCAATGACTTCACACAAATGATTAATTAAGGTTATCTTTTATTATTTCATTCCCTCATTGTAGTTAAATAAATAATGTAGTTTTTTCCCCTGCATGTCAAGTATGGGGCTCCGTAATGTCAAACTAAATGAAATAGCAATAAAATGTAATTATATCGACGTATTTAAAAAATAAATAAAAATAAAAATGACTAACTAAAATTAAAACAGAAAATATAAAAATAAAAGCAATTAAAAATATTAACAAAAACGATAACAGTATCTCAATGATACTAAAATAAACTAGTCCTATTATAGCTATCTAAATTTTTGACAACATTTACAAATCAAAGTAATTGTTAAAATTTTTTTAAAGACATTTGGGTATTTTGAAACTGTAACAAGTAAAAGAAATAAAATAATTAATGCATTATTCAACAAGCAGGTTTTTGTTAAATTAAATGTTTGAATATTTAATTTTGCACTAAAATGTTATTTTCGTTCATATGACATGACAAAATATTTACTAAAATTTAAAGGATATTTTCATCAAAAGACAATAAGAAAAAGAAGTGTGAAAATATCTTTCTCTAAAATCTCTAACTCACTTGTTTGTGTAGGGTGCGCTGCTTAGATTCTGGACTGTCCCCTTTGGAGGACGACGACTGCTGCCTCAGTCTGGTGCCACTGCTTGGCCAGTCAGGAGATGATGACATCATACTTCCACTGGAGGGGCGGGGGTACGGTGCGGTGTTGAGCATGTTGGGCGGAGTGCGGCCCCTTGTGACGGTTGGAGGCGGCTGGTCTATCCTGCGCTGCGGCCCTGTGCTGTTCTGGCGTGGTACGTTGGCTTGGTGTTGGGTCTCTGTGAGGGACAGCTGTCTGCGAGTGAACTCTCCAGAACACCGAATGAATTCATCCCCGCTGCTGCCCCCTCCGCCACTGGCCCCCGTGCTGGACTGGCTCAGGAATGGGTGCTTTGACCCCGCAGTAGCTGCTTCCTCTGCGTTACTCTGGGAGCTGATGGAGCTCTGGCATTCAGATCCCGAATCGGCCACTGCACGGGGCAATCCGGCGGCCATGTGGTACACAGGGTTCTGGAACGAGAGCGGGGCAAGCAGCTGGGACCTCCCCAGGGCTATTTCTGTACTCGGTGTGGTGGGGGTCTGTCCTGGCCTCCTCAGGGTCGGACCGCTGGGTGTGTTGCCCATAGTGGTGCGGGTGGTCCACACTCCTGTGCCCTGGCCAACAGAAGTATGGCTGTCATTGATGGGGTCGCTGAAGGAGGTGTTGGGAGCGCTCTCAAGAGAACGACTGTCCTGCAGGTCCACCATTGACAAGCTCTTGCTGCCGTTGGGGATCTGAACATCTGGCTCGTTAGCCTCCGAGTAACTGGAGCTGCGGGCAGGCGACGGCTGGATCACAGAATTCTTCGTTACGAAAAACAGATCCTTGTTTTCGGGGGTCGGTGAGGGCAGCCGTGTGAAATCCACCAACCTGTCCAAGAGGTAACGGGACAAAACGAAGATCACAGCTGTTCCTTAATTCAAATCAAACTCATTGTTTGCCAGTCTAGCTCATTTGCATGACTAATGGATGTGTGTGTGCTGATGTGACTGTAAAAAACATGTACACAGAAAAAAACAGTCAGCTTTTATTCAAGACTACATTACAATATATGTCTTTGATTACTGTGCTAGAGAATAAACCACCCTGAAGAAAAGGATGAAGAAAAGGAAAGTATAAACAATGTCTTGCTTGGTGCAAAACAAATCTGTTCCCATTCAGTCAGTCACGTTCTACGTTACGTCAGTGACTGACGAATTGGGATCTCGCCCGAGAGCCCAATCACCTTCGAGTGTTAACTAAACAAGCCAATGACAGTTGGCGTGCGTGTTTCGCCACGCGCACCCCGCCCCGCAGCGGGGGTATAAAAGGAGAGCTCGTGCAAACGCACATCAGCTTTTCGCTTCGGAGCCGAGCCTTCTACAGCACGAATCTCCGCGAGTGTTCGAAAGAAACAGCTGGCGTTGGTGTGACGGCGTATCAGCGGGGGTTGCCATCCAGGCTGCTGAAATCTCGGCGGGCTGCAGCTTCCATTCTGTGGTCTTGCCGCGACCTCCCCTGGGCGCTTCAGCGCTCTCTCTAAAAGAGTATTTTCCAAAAAATTCTAAAATAGCTATTTCTAAAAGAGCTTCACGAGCGACGCGCGTCTTTTTAAAGATGGCTTCCCGCTCGTGCGTTTCTGGATGTGGTCGTTTCCTGCCTTCATCTGACGGTCATGATCACTGCCTCTCGTGCTTGGGCTTACAGCACGCTGAAGCAGCGCTCATGGATGAGTCATGTTCTCAGTGCTTTCTTTCCTGCAGGATGGGTTGGAGCGAAGGCTGTCTCCCTCCACCCTGAAAGTGTATGTTGCCGCATTGCCGCGCATCACGATGCAGTAGACGGTAAGTCGTCGGGCGAGATCCCAATTCGTCAGTCACTGACGTAACGTCTCCGTTCCCTCCTTCAGGGAACGAGGGTTACACAAGTAACCTAGACGTTTCTCATGGATAAACCTGGCAATGTTATCTGCATGCATTTTATTGTCAGTTTCTATATTTACACTATCGTTCAAAAGTTTGGGTCAGGAAGATTTCGTTTGGAGAGAAATACTTTAATTCAGCAATGCGTGTAAAATGACAGGCTGTGACTTTACTTTTATAATGTTACAAAAAAAATTATATTTTAAATAAATGCTGTTCTTTTGAACTTTCTCTAAAGCAAAGAATCCTGAAAATGTATAACGGTTTTCTCAAAAATATTAAGTGTATTAACTATCAACATATTAAAATATTCATATTAACTGTTTTCAACATTGATAATAATAAGAATTGTTTCTTGAACACCAAATCAGCTTATTAGAATTATTTCTGAAGGATCATGTGACACTGAAGACTGGATTAATGATGCTGAAAATTCAATTTTGGCATCACAGGAATAAATTACATTTTAAAATATATGTCCATAGAAAACTGTTATTTTAAATTATAATAATATTCCACAATATTAGGGTTTTACTGTATTTTTGGTGAGCATAAAATACCTCTTTCAAAAACAAACAACAACTTTTAAACAGTACATTTATGCATTCAACGGATGCTTTTAATCAAAGTGTCTGACTGTGCATTCAAACAGTATGTGTGTTTCTAAGAGAACTGAACCCATGATCCTGACGTTGCTATTACAGTGCTTTTCCAGTCGAGAAAATTAATGCAACATAGATATTTAGAAAGTAAACAGACAGTAAAAGATCTGAAAACTGATTATTAAAACATGGAGATATTATCAGATGCAAGTAATCTTCTTTGAAAGCACTGGGTGATCAGTCGAGCAGCAAGAGAAGATGTGGCATTTACAAAAGCCTTGCCTGGGACCCATTTTACAACTTAATTTTTACCATATTCCACAACAAAATGATAAAGATTTAACAGCTTGCAGTTTTTCCTCTCAGCTTTATTTACATTACACAGTGTCATGTTTAAGATTCTCACCTAAATATATGAGTGCTTTAAATGTATTTCCCTGATTTCACAGACTGCCACAGTAAATAGCCATCAACTCGCATGGATCGCATCCCAGAGCCCACAGAATCCAAAGCCTTTGGAGTTTTTTTTAAGTTTGGTTCCTCAGTTTTTTTAAGATCGGTTCCTCAGTTAGAAGCACAAGACTGTATTTTTGCTTACCAGTTAAACTGGATATTTCTTATTACCTTTGGATAGACACTAACCTGCAATCTAGACCAGGCTGAAAGTGAAAAGTCTGGCTACATAAGACTATTTTTTCCCTGACTTACCCTGTGATCTCACTGTCCATGACCATTTTCTGCAGACCGGTAGACAGGCTGCTGCTGGGTAGAGTGGGGGAACCTACACGCTCGGTGGGAGATGACACGGGGACTCCAGTGGGGTTCGTCAGGGCTGAATTGACATCCCGCAGGATCCGTGCTAAAGGACCCAGCTTAGTGATAGTACTCTACAACACAATACAGAACAGTGAATGACTGGATTTAAACTTGATAGAGCATTGTGAACTCCATTGAGTAAAGGCAATATAGCACTACAGAAAAAACACTTAATATACAGTTTAGCATGTTATTTCAGTACAGTTTGAAGCTGTAAGACAGGAGAGGTGGTGCATTACAGTGATTTTACTGCATTCATAGGGTTTTGTTAGCTTATCATGAATAAGCCTGGCCAAGTTAACGGGATGCATTATATTGCCACTTTCCACATTTACTGTACAGTCATTCAAACATTCAATATTTTTTTTATATATACTTTTATTCAGCAATGATCCATTAAACTGATCAAAGGTGATCAATTTTCAATTTAAAAAAAAATAAATGCTGTACTTTAGAACTTTCTATCCATCGATAAAATCCTGAAAAATAAAATGTATCATGGTTTTCTTAAAAACATAAATCAGCACAACTGTTTTTTTTAACATTGATAATAACAAGAATGGCCATTTTTACTTAATGACCACTTAAAATAAAGTTTAGCATGTTATTCCAGTACAGTTTGAAGCAAGAGAGGCTGTGCATTACAGTGATTTTACTACGTTCAATGGGTGTTGTTAAGTTCAACACAGGTGGAGTGTGAATCTTAATGACTAATTGTTGGTGTAAATCTGGACATTTCTATTAATGGTGAATTTTAAAACTGTAACTATTTTATGGTTTCTAGCAATTTGGTGTGCATATATCAGCTATTTCTATTTTTCTCAGATAACTAGCTTTGACTGTAGCTCATCCAATCAAAATTCAGAGCCAGTGTTGTCTGTATTTTATCACATCAGATAATCACTTGATAAACTAAATTGAGCTCAAATGACAGTTTCTGTTTCCGTGAGAGTTGCATGAAGACACATAAGTACATTACAATCTAATGAACTGTTTTCAATATTTGTTCAATCGCAGGACCTCACCTGATCGAGCTGTGAGACGGCTTCGGACAGGAGAGAAAGGAGAGTGGAGAGTTCACGGCCCAGGTCAACATAACCCTCGAAGCCTGCTGTGTTTGAGATGGTCTCCGGGTTGGAGATCTCCAGCAGGAAGCGCTGCATGTTGGTCCATTCGTGTTCCAAGAACTGATTCATGAAGGACATGTACTCCTCCTTACTGCCAAACCTACAACAAAAAACACAGTAAATACAGTTTGTCCCGATGAAAATGTGCATAAGAGTTTATTAACTGCAACCACAGGGGTATGATGCATTAAAACTCATGATCAACATCAAATTTCATTGTCATTTCAGTATCATATCATATGTTATAGCTTAATGATGTAACTTTTTGCTGTAAAATATTTACTTGAAGTACCCCCTGAGGTTTCAATTAATATTTCAATGCTACAACAAAGCAATCACGTTCACGGTTGTCTGATGTTAGATAATGGTCACCAAACATGCAGGTAAATAAAAATTATTTTCACATTTTCAGTAAGTGTTTGATTTTTATTGTTTTTATTATGATTCTTTTTCATTTTATATGTTTATGATTTAATTAGAAGCCCTGAGGTTTGCGAACCCGTTTGGTGAGAAATGTTCTATCCTTGATTTGCATGAACAAATACACTCACTTGGTGAAGTTGGCGAGGTTTTGTGTCACTTTGGCTATGAGTGTGAGTGTTCGGGCGGTGCGGTCGTCAGGATATTCCTGCATGAGGCTGAAGAGCGAGGGCGACATGATGGCAGGACACAGGAAGCGCAGGAAAAGAGATGCGCTGATCAGGCGTTCGCTGATGTCCGGTCGTCCTCGGTTACTGCACTCCTGCCTCCAGGATGCAAACACTTCTTTAAGCTCCCGAGGAAACACGCTAGAGTGGATAGACAATAAAGTGATTTGATGAGAGAAAATACCACATTTTTATTACAGCAAAAAAAAAAAAAGTATACAGGTCTGGAGTAAATGATGACTTTAAACCAGTGAGCTGAAATACTGTCTGAGTAACTGTTTAGTAACAAACAGGCCCAAAAACAACAACACTCCCACCCAGTTCTGCATTCCCACATCGAATCACAGTCACCATGTGCGTTTAATTAAGTGTTAACAATGCGGGACGGCATCCTCTCCCACAACAATTTCACTGCTACACCCTTTAACCGTTACGCCCACCTTCAATTTTCACATCACTGCCGTAAGGACGTCCCCTCCTGCGACCTCTAGCTCACCACAATCTGCCGTTTAAGTTGCTCTTTTTGAGACAGAGAGACACATAAAAGATGGCGCACAACAAAACCCCGGCAGAGTTAGACACAACCTATCAAGATTCAGTTGAAGATACTCCTCAAAGGGAGAAAAAGTACATTCCCCTGACGGAATATCTTGCACTAGGCCATTGCAGGAGGGAGTAATTTCATATCTCAGCATGGTTTTGCTAATACGTAGGTGATGACTGAGGAACAGCACAGTCTCCATGAGGACAGATGGAGACCTCTCACTTCTTATTAGTCTTACTTTGCCAGGCATCATGGGCTTTTTGGAGAAATTACAAAATCGCTAATTCAGGATCTGCCTAGAATTAATTTAAAAGCAGCCGAAAACCCTTTGTAAGTCATAATATTGTAACATGTTTTTATTAAGCATTTACATTTATGCATTTGGTAGATGCTTATCATTCAAAATGACTTACACTGCATTTAAGGTATATATATTTATATATACCTTAAATGCAGTGCCTATATGCAATATTGACCAATCAGTTTCTAACATTGGAACTAACCATTGTAAAATATCAAATGAAGCATGTTTCCAATAAAAAGAAAAAATCCTTTAAATCTGTCTAAGCCAGGCAGTTGCAGTGTGCAGACGCTTATATGAGAGGTGAATTTGTTGGCATTACCAGTAAGAATTGATGATCTTGCAGAAAGCCAGCTCACAGCACATCTTCAGGTTGCTCTGGTGCTCATGCAGGTCACTGGAGGAGCACTTAGACGGATCCACCTCGCAGTTCTCGTCTGACTCATACAGGGCTTTGATGAACTCACCTGGGACGGAGAAAGTAAACAATGCGGAAAACCTGCAACACTTTCTCACAGACTAAGCTTTTGAAAGTATTTTCCCAGCATCAAACAAACTCTTTTGAGGGAAACCAAGCCTAAAGCTTTCCCTCCTCACTTGATTTTGCACCCATATTTAACTTGATATCTTAAATAATTGAACAGAACTTCAAACACACATACTACACACACAAAAGCAGTAAATTATTGATTATATATTCTCACAAGCATATCTGATGGTCTCCAGAAATAGTAAGGAATGTATTGCACTATTTTGATTTGAATGACAATTTTCACACAATTTTACCTAAAGCGTCCTGAAGGTACTTCTGTCCCACTAGTTTCAGGTACTTCTCTATAGCTTTAGTAGCCAGTGTGTTCTCACGGAATATGAGATGCTCATTGTCTCCACACCGATCCACCTCAGACATCATCAGATCTGTCAGAAAGTCCTGAGGGGGACAAAACATTAAGAAGTCTTTATTGATGTGCAGCATTTCTAGAGATAGTCTTTAAATGTTTGAAACCTTGGGTTTAAATTGCAAATGGTTCCCCCTGACTCTCACTTGTCAGATAAACAAAAAGTTTCACCCAAACTCATTGCTTGAGTGTTCTGGCTGATTGGGATACTTAGACAAACACAACAATGTTTTGATAAAGTTTTCATACCATATCAGAAATTTCAACCTTATTTATAGTTGTTTATGCATATTAAACTGACAATAAAATGGCACACAAATCATGCTGGCTTCAGTACACACAGGCTGTTTTGTGTCTACTGTGCTGCTTCTGGTCTGTTTCCTCCTTTCTGTCCCCATCTTTGATCACTATGTTTTTGAAGTTCCACATTTGATTTTGAACCATCCAGAACCGGGTATCTGACAGGATGACCTGCAAACCAGCAAATGCATCTGATGGGCCGGATTCAGGAGTTTTATATAGAGTCCACAGAAGCTCCAGTCAGAACGTGTTCCAGATTGAGATGGTTATGGATATCCATGGATATCATATGCATATGCTATCATAGATATCATATCATATGCGTATGATATCATGGATATCATACGCAGTGATAGTGTATTGATTGTGGGGTAATGGACGTTGTATAGTTAATGTCCTCTCTCATGATGTGTACCTCATGTCTCTGCTCCGGCTTCACTGCACTACATCAGTTTCAGCTGAGCATATCCAAGACCTCAGAAGCCCACATGTAAACATGCTAATGATATGTTCTCATGTGGCCCCGGTGGCCATTTATAATTCAGAGCTCCAAAACGTACAAAATGCACGATAAAAGAAGACTCTTGCGCTATACTTCAAGACTCATAAAGCCATTTGATATCTTGGGATAATTTTAATTGCTACTAGTTGAAAATCTTCTCCTCTGTGGTAGCTGTTAAGCAGTGATGTCAAACTATAGATGTCAAGTTTAAAGATTTTAGAGCTATGCCAGATGGAAAGATCTTAAGTGAATAACGACAGCATCTATGCACTTTTTTGTTTGCGCAGAAAAAAAAGAGCAGCCTGGAATATAATGACAGGAAGTGTAATTTACTTAATTGCAATTCTAAGAAATTCAACAGGTAATGACTTTGTGGGAAATTAAGTTCTTTCTTGCCTGTCTGTCAGTAAAAAAATATAAATCATTAAACTTCAAGACTTTCACAAGTCCCAAGATTTTTTTCAAATTCTTGACAAATTGTCCTTTTTCCTAGTAAGAATTTAAGTTATTAGGTTTATTAATTTCTTTTAAATTAAAGTTTAGGTTTATTAGGTTAGTTATTAGGTTTTCTTTTAAATAAAGTTACCAGGTTTATGGATTTTATTTCATTTTAATCCAAATTCTAGTTCCTGTTCAAATTCATATTCATATTCAATTCAAATTTACCAATTTAAAAAAGCATTTGATTCATTTCAGGATGACATTGAACATAAAAATTAAACATTCTACAATTATATTTTTTAAAGTATATTTTAATACTAAAACGCATTCTCCCAGTTATATCCTTATACTGTATATTCATAATGTTGTATTTTTCACAATAATTACACAATAGAAAGGTACCATGAACAACATTAGTGATAAAAAGGACATTTTTTGTTTTCTTTTTGTCCCCAAACAAGTCTAAGTCTCCAAAGAATGATTATTAAATATGATACAGCAGAACTGAATTGATGCTACAAATTCTATTATTTAAGAAGCATCAGATTGCTTCTGAACTATGTAAGCTCCATGTGTTTAGCATGGATTAAGAGACCAGTATGAGTTCCCGTGCTACTCCATGCTGGTTAGTGCTGGTTTAGGATGCATATCAATGCTATATGCCAGCACAACATATGATCCCACCAGCATCAAAAACACAATCTGGTCATAAGCTATGTAATGTCAGAGAGATGAAGGATCAATGTGGGTGGTGCTGTGCTACTGCTGACAGCAGAATCTCCGTAAAGGACATGGGTGTGTGTGTCTACAGCTGGCCGTGATTTCTGCTGATGCCCTGGCGTTGGATCAATGATCTGCAGCAGATGCATGTCTGTGTTTTGAGAGATAGTGTCTTATGCATTATTGCACATCTCTACAAGCACTTAGGATTCAGTCTCCTAAGCAGGTCTCCACAACAATCTAAACAGTTGCCGACACATTACACTTATATAAGACAAGAACAAGACAGGAAGTCAATAATCATGCAGATTTATGTTACAAACTTATAGAATTGTACAGTAAGAAAGTTATTTCCTTTAACCAGGAAATTAACGTTCTTAGAATTGACAAGACGGTTGACCCTGAGTGGTCAGCTAAATATCTACAGTGGATCTAAAATATGAATAGTTAATTATAACTAGTTATGGTTAATTATTCATATTTCCCCATGAGCTAAATTCGCTACAATTCAGAGCTCCAAAACGTACAAAATGCACGATAAAAGAAGACTCTTGCGCTATACTTCAAGACTCATAAAGCCATTTGATATCTTGGGATAATTTTAATTGCTACTAGTTGAAAATCTTCTCCTCTGTGGTAGCTGTTAAGCAGTGATGTCAAACTATAGATGTCAAGTTTAAAGATTTTAGAGCTATGCCAGATGGAAAGATCTTAAGTGAATAACGACAGCATCTATGCACTTTTTTGTTTGCGCAGAAAAAAAAGAGCAGCCTGGAATATAATGACAGGAAGTGTAATTTACTTAATTGCAATTCTAAGAAATTCAACAGGTAATGACTTTGTGGGAAATTAAGTTCTTTCTTGCCTGTCTGTCAGTAAAAAAATATAAATCATTAAACTTCAAGACTTTCACAAGTCCCAAGATTTTTTTCAAATTCTTGACAAATTGTCCTTTTTCCTAGTAAGAATTTAAGTTATTAGGTTTATTAATTTCTTTTAAATTAAAGTTTAGGTTTATTAGGTTAGTTATTAGGTTTTCTTTTAAATAAAGTTACCAGGTTTATGGATTTTATTTCATTTTAATCCAAATTCTAGTTCCTGTTCAAATTCATATTCATATTCAATTCAAATTTACCAATTTAAAAAAGCATTTGATTCATTTCAGGATGACATTGAACATAAAAATTAAACATTCTACGATTATATTTTTTAAAGTATATTTTAATACTAAAACGCATTCTCCCAGTTATATCCTTATACTGTATATTCATAATGTTGTATTTTTCACAATAATTACACAATAGAAAGGTACCATGAACAACATTAGTGATAAAAAGGACATTTTTTGTTTTCTTTTTGTCCCCAAACAAGTCTAAGTCTCCAAAGAATGATTATTAAATATGATACAGCAGAACTGAATTGATGCTACAAATTCTATTATTTAAGAAGCATCAGATTTCTTCTGAACTATGTAAGCTCCATGTGTTTAGCATGGATTAAGAGACCAGTATGAGTTCCCATGCTACTCCATGCTGGTTAGTGCTGGTTTAGGATGCATATCAATGCTATATGCCAGCACAACATATGATCCCACCAGCATCAAAAACACAATCTGGTCATAAGCTATGTAATGTCAGAGAGATGAAGGATCAATGTGGGTGGTGCTGTGCTACTGCTGACAGCAGAATCTCCGTAAAGGACATGGGTGTGTGTGTCTACAGCTGGCCGTGATTTCTGCTGATGCCCTGGCGTTGGATCAATGATCTGCAGCAGATGCATGTCTGTGTTTTGAGAGATAGTGTCTTATGCATTATTGCACATCTCTACAAGCACTTAGGATTCAGTCTCCTAAGCAGGTCTCCACAACAATCTAAACAGTTGCCGACACATTACACTTATATAAGACAAGAACAAGACAGGATTTTCTGTGCCGCACAAAGCTCTCTCCACCATCATCGGTGGGATCAGGTGATAAGGGCATATCTGAGCTGTTCTCTTCCCAGTCAGGCAGAGGTGCATTTTGGTTATGACACTGAGAGGATCAAATGAGACCCAGTTTCTCGAAAAGCTCTGCGTCTTTGGCAGAAGTCACAGCACTCTGTATTCAATTAGGACACGAGAGCTTAACACAGTGAGCAGCACTCAGCGCCCGTTCCCTGATGAGACTTATCCGTAGTCTCACCACTAATCAGACGCCACCGAGTGCAGCGCATTTTCCCCGGCATGCCTGTCACATCCCATCATGCCTGTCTGTAGCTTAGCACCACAATCAGCACAGATCTGCAAAAAGAAAACTATGGGGGTTTTATGGAAAATTAGTAGTTGCAAAGCAATTACTGCATACTGGGCAAAATATACTATGCAATGTGCACTATTTTTAAGCAAATGATACATGTGAAACAGTATGCAGCTATAAATGCTTATGATGGTATGCGATGTTGACACATGACCTCATTAGATTGCATGAGTGGTGCCCAGTTAACGTGTCAGAAATATGGGCATTTGTAGCCCAGTTTTGTTAAAAAATGTCTTTGACAGTCTGATCAAATGATGAGTCGAGAGAGAGATGTTAAAAGTTGTGGGTGATATAAATTCCAGTTAATTTGTCACACTGCAAGTCAAGCGCACTGCATTGCAGGATACTGTACATAGTGTGATTTGTTATGCGTGTACTGAATGTTTTGGCAAATATAGTAGGTCATGCTTTTTACTGTGCATAAAATTAGCATACCACTGAAAAGTTTGGCGCCTGTAAGATTTGTACTGTTTTTGAAAAAAGTCTCTTATGCTCAACAAGGCTACATTTTTTTGGTCAGAACTACAGTCAAAACAGTAATGTTGTGAAATATTATTACAATTTAAAAGACCTGTTTTCTATTTTGATATATTTTAAAATCTAATTTATTCCTGTGATGCAAAGCTGAATTTTCAGCATCATTACTCCAGTCTTCAGTGTCACATGATCCTTTAGAAATCATTCTAATATGCTAATTTGGTGCTCAAGAAACGTTTCTTATCAATAGTTAAAAACAGTTTTTTTTGTGTGTGTGGAAAATGTCATACATTTTTTTTTCAGGATTCTTTGATTATTTATTTGACATTTACTCAAAATGGAAATATTATTTTAACATTAAAAATGTTTCCTGCTGTCCAATAACCTGCGGAAGGGTTGTTAGCGTCTTGTTTAAGCTTCATGCTTACAGCAGTTTGAGGCAGGCATGAATAAGTAAGCAGTGGCTTGTTAAAATGGCAATGTGTGCTCTCAAGAATCAGTTCATCCTCTGGGCGATCTACTAATGACCCCTGTCCCACAGGCCCTGCCTCCCTAGTGCACAGCCCTGCTGATTAATAATCTTTCAGACTTGCACATTACAGCTCAATTCTTCACTGAGCGTGATCACATGAACCCGTTTGGCCCTCAAACCAACGGCTGAATTAATAAAAGCTGATTAGCATGAGGCCTGACACTTGGAATTTCCCTCAGGACAAACCCTGAGTGGACACTTTGACTCTTTATGTGAGGTTAGAATTGTGAATCTCCCCCACACTGGCTCACACTCTCACACAGTACGATCAATACTTCCTGCACAAACAGACTGGATCTGTACCCGAGTGTCACAAAGCTCGGATTTAAATTGTTGTGGATACAAATAATTTATTATTATTATATAATATATATATATATATAATCAATGGTATATTTAAAAATAATATCTATTTAGGAGCTTTATCTAAAATTGACAAGGGGCAATAAATAACATAATTATGTTTTAAAAATAACACATAAAACACTTGATATTTTATATTTATTTATTGCCCCTTTTTAACTTTGGATAAAGCTATCTGTATCATGTAAGTGAAAATGTATCATGTAAAGACATGAAATTAAATTGATTTAAATGTATATATTCAGTATAAAATACAGACACACTATATTGTATACACTTATTCATATACTGAACACATACCATAACTACTGTATATTTAAAAATGTAAATAATACCTATTTAGGAGCTTTATCTAAAATTGACAAGGAAAAATAAAAAAGAATTAAAAACTAACATATGAAAAAATTATTATAGAATTGTAAAAATAAAACATAGATAAAGTTCCTGAATAGGCATTATGTAAATATAAATGTAATTAATATATATAGTATATAGTACAGATGTGTATATAAATGTGTATATTATATACTGAAAACCTACTGTATAAACAGTGCATTTATAAATGTAAATAATAGGAGATTTATCTAAAATCAACAAGGGGTAATAAATATAAAAAAATAACATATGAAAACCCTGGATATTTTATATTTAGCTCCTAAATAGGTATTATGTAAATACATATGAAGAGTTCAGATGCAAAAGCCTCTAAGTGCCATCTGAAATTTTCATATAAAATTCGATTTTTATCAGGCTCCTATGCTGGTTCAGTAATTTTACTTTAATGGCAATGTATATGTCATTTTCTATGCCGTTAAAGTGAAATAATTGAACATAAATATAGGAGCCTGATAAAAATGCTCATTTTAGATGAAAATTTCAGAAGGCACTTAGAGGCTTTTGCATCTGAACTCTTCATATGTAATTTATATAATATATACAGTAAATATTCTGTATATAATATAGACACGTTATATTGTATAGGTTCTAAACTGAATACATACTGTATCTTTACCATTTACAGTTATGTATGTCAAAAGATATCTGATACATTAGCAAAGCTTAAATACAGAGCATTTCAAGACTACCTTACAAATTTGATGGTTGCTTATTAGATTAATAAAGGTGAATGTCATATTATGCAACTACACATTATGGATAGCTTATCATTCAGCAATTTTGGCTTGCAGCAATCCAATTTGAAGACAATTTTAAAACGAGATGCCCCATACAGGCAGATATTATTTCAATCATGTGCTATCAGTACATAATCAGGCTAATCAGTACTCATTATTGAAATCATGCAGGCCTGCAGACAAAGACAGGAAGCTGTGGAATGCTGAGACTAAGTCAATGTTCTTTATTTACAGTAACCAGGCTTCAGCTAATGAAAGAAAATGCACTGGCTGATCAGCTCTGGCCTTGTATAATGAGAGACAATGCAGTCCCTGACCAATTAACTCCTCTGTAATGAAAGACTGTGGCCTTTTTGACTTACAGTTCTGCTGAAATGATAGACCAGCCACTTTGTTGATTGGCTAAAAAATTACATAATATGTGTTCTGCAAAAAATGGTTTAACTCCTCTGTAATGAAAGACTGTGGCCTTTTTGACTTACAGTTCTGCTGTAATGATAGACCAGCCACTTTGTTGATTGGCTAAAAAATGACATAATATGTGTTCTGCAAAAAATGGTTTAAAAGAATTGTATAATATAATATATATAATATGTTGAAAAAGTAACAGCTAAGTTAGAATCTTTCATTCAACACAAAAGGCAAACAAAATACCAAAATCTCATTCAAGCACGTCTAAACATTAGGCTTGTATTGCTGGATTGCACAGACTAAAAATCCCAAATAAGCCCAGAGTGGCACTTAACAATAATGTGATCGCATATTCTAGAGAACTGGATGGCAAATTGTTGTGCAGGTCTGTTGTGATGCAACAATGCCACGGATTCGCGTCAGAGTGCTGCAGCAAAAACAGCTCTCTCGAACAGCATTTGATCAATAATGACAGATGAGTGACAAAGCGACAGACGGCTCGCTTTTATTTGTGATATCACCTGATTCTAGGCTGATATATGGTGAGTATCAGAGCCGTTTGTGCTCAAGTTAATGAGGGCAATCACAGCGCTCAGCACTCCTGTGATTAAATGAGAGGAAGCAGGCCACGTCTCTATTGTTCTTCTCTAGCATTGATGTTTTTCGCAATTTGATGGGGTTTAGAGTAAGGCCTAGAACGTCCTTTTCTGTTTCTTACAGCAAAACGCCCAACTAGGCAAATGCTTCATTTCAGAAAAAAACTCTTCAAAATAAATGTCACAGTCAGCTTTTTTATACTAAGACGTCTAAACTCCGAGTGTAACATGGAAACTCAAAGTAGCACAATGATTGTTGAGTGTTTTATCTTGACAATGTACAAATCGTCATGTCACTCTCTCGTTCGGTTGTCAGCAAACAGCATCCGTGAGAGAGTCTATAATTAAACAATCTTCCTAGATATAACAAATGCAGTCAGGCAACACATTTACTTTTATAAGTCAACATGAAAAGGCCTTTGCACCCAATTTTCATTATGGAACGGGATGCATTTCTGAGTTGGGACTTGTGGAAATTACAGCATTTTAGTGCCATGTTAAAAAACAATAAATAAATCAAATAAAAATAAAGTGGAAATATTTTAAGAATAAAGTCAGAATTACAACATTAAAGTCAAAGCAATACGAATAATAAAGTAGAAATGCGAGAGAAATGTGTGTGGACGATTTAGTTAGATCTACTTTAAGATAGGATTTAGCAATAAATAACTCTGAAATGGCAAGCAGTGGGCGACTTTAATCTCATATTGCTAAGAATTTATTCTCCTATTGATACAACTTGTTCTGCTAATTTTTACTTTATTCTCAAAATAGTAGGAACGTAATATCACAACTTTAATCTCACAATTCTGACTTTATTTTAAAAATGACACTAATTGCAAATAAGCTTGCATGATTTGTTGTATGCTTTTTGTGTGATTTTTTAAAATCTGATTATTTACAATTATTTATGTATCATATTTGTTAAATACATTGTACAACGTTAGCCTGAAACTGTTATATTGCAATAATGTGCATTATATTCATGCACATGATTCTAATGATGAATCATGCACAACAAGAGCGGGAATGTGCATTAGAAAAGAAAATGGGGTGAACTCTGATTTCGTGTTTACTTTAACGTGGCATAGCAGCATACAATGCAATTATCTTACCTTGGCCTTGCCTGTGCTTTGTAAGATATGGACAAGTGCACAAGCCATCTCTTCCTTGTTCTTCACACTTAGCGCTGGCTCCAGCACTGAGCACATTAACATATAATTGTTAGTAATGTACTCTGCAAACTCCTTGTACAGCTCCATGGGAAGGATGCTCATGCTCTGATATCGGGATTTCAATCGGACCATGGGTCCTGGACTCTTTCCTTTATTGGGATTCGGCATGCTCACGGAATACCATTTTTCCACGAACTGCCGCCCGGTGACTGCCGCTATAGGGATATTGACCAGGCCCACGTAATTATTCTTGTCCTTCTTTTTCTTTTTGTCCGTTTCCTTGTAAAGATGCACGGTGATACTCCTAACTGAGGGCAGGTTGTTAAACTCAAAGTGTTCGCCCCAGAAAACATTGTCTGTTTTGAGTTTGCAGGTAGTCCGTGCATACAACGTGTCATCCAGACAAAGTTCACAGAAGTATTTTTTCTTTGCAGGCAAGTCCTTAGCTTCGATAATCCAACATTTCAGCATGTTTTCCACCCGACGGGTGTTATCCTGCGGAATACAAAAAAAGAAAGCACTGCGTTTTACAGTGACCTCTGCAAACTGCAGAAAGGAATTAGATAACCCCCTGTGTACTTTAAAAAGTTAAGCTGAGTTAATGCAGAGAAGTCGATCAGAAACTGTCAATATGTGAGACAGGATATATGAAAAAGTAACATGCTGACTGACTTAAACCTCATCTGGTCTAGAATTACCCAGGATTCAGATGAATCGTCCAGTTTACCTTGTTGGGATGCACAGCACGTCTCAAATTCTCCATCCATTTGTCTCTCTCGGCAGCCGACCGACATGAGAAGCATTTGCTTCCTGTTGAAGTAGTTACCTGCAATTACAGATTACAATGATCAAATTTGCAGATAAGTGCATTAAGCGAGCTAGAAAGGACTGAAATGCAGATCAGGAGATGGTGGATGTTATCAGAGAGATCCACTGAACGCTACAGCACTCAATCAATGAAGCGTTTCCCAGGAGTGGAGAGCAATTACATTTGGAGGAAGAATAAAACTCTCAAATAGCCCTATCAGACAGAATGCACTTAGATCAGACGTATTTGAAGGATCACGTGCGTTATCAGTGAGTAGTGATACATGCATACGCCTTTTACAAATATTCTTTTCATATCCAAAATTCATCTTGAAAAGACCATCTGCTCACAGTCACACCATCCAGGTGACAACAAAAGTACTGGTCCACATTTGAATACAGAGGGGTGAATTCAACAAACAGTTGCAAGACTTTTTCAAAACAAAAATTGCCAGGCATTATCTGCGCTGATGTAGTGCTGCTTCTTATGTATTTTCATTTGTATTTAAGTTATATTTGAAAATAATACTTAAAATAAGTAATTAGAAAAGTTAAATAATAAATATTAAACAAAAAAATAAGTTTGCAATTGCAAAATTAAATAATTCTTAAATTAGAATGTAAATTATAGTTTAAATAAGCAAAATATAATACAAATGAATTTAATTAAAATTATGTACATTTAGATAAATATCTAAATTATTTAAATATAATAAATTGTATTTAAATGCAAACAAGCCTTTAAAATAAATATAAATTTAAGTGATAAATATTAAACAAAAATATTTATATCTGAACAAAATAATATATGAAATATTTTAAATAAATTGCAAAATATAATAAAATAATTAAATAAATAACATTATTAACAAAATTAAGTAATAGCTACAATATATTTGAAATATTTAAACACTGTAAACATTCACAAAAAATAAATATAAAATAAGCATATTTTTGAAAAGCCAGCTCCTTCTTAGGGAATTCCACCCTAGAAATTCATAATAAAAGTGTACCCTACTAAATGTAATTCAATTTTCATATAGAATTTTGACTGCTATAATTCTAGTTTGCGTGATAAATGATGGAATAAATAGAGCAAACAGCATAATCCATAATAGACCTTTGGCTGACCCCTGCAGAACTCCTACTAATGGTGAGTGTCTCATTCTTTGCAGCTGGCGTCTGCTGTACTGTAACAGTCATTGACTCCATGTGAATTGGCCTCTCAGAACTCACCTCTAGTGATCACAGAGAGAACGAGAGGAGATGTTCAGACAGATGGGACTCTCTTGCACCCTTTGAGCAGGGGATACAAAGGGAAAAGGAAGGCGCTTCTGGTATTAAGTTCTGCATGCAGATGCCTGATTTAACTATGATACTACCTAACTGAGATTCATTCAAAAACCCTTTTTAAAAAAATTACTTTTTTAGGTGAATAACTATTCCTTTAAGGAAACCTGCATGCCGATTGCCTGATCACAGTTTACTTTGTCTGCACCATCTGACCTTGTAATTATATAACCATCTGTTTTAAGTGAGCCTTCTCTGTAACACACGTGAAAATCATCCAGTAACATGACCCACGGCCCCTCAATGACTATACTGCTGAACGGCTAGATAGCACTGCTATTTTCTGCATAGTATTTGATCTTGGCTAATGGCCTTGATGAAGTTTTAATGGGCCTTTGCTGCGTGCTATTTTGAGACTTGTCGTACATTAAAAGTCCTTTTGGCAATTAATACAGGGCTGTGACTTCAACAGGGCAGTGAGGTCAACCGACTCACCTCAAAGCAGAAATCCTGTCCCAGGATGCTGCTGTGCACAGGTTTGATGAGCACTTCCTCCTCCATACTGAGATCTAGAGCTTCTACTGCACTGCTGGGGCTGAGCAACGACTCGTGAGACCGCGATTCCTTCAGCCTCGGCATCAGATGGGATCTACTGGAGTGAAACAGGAAGAGAGGAACATATGCATCAGAGTTAAACAGGCATTTGTAGTTTATTAGAAGTGAGATGCGATGCGAACTGGAACTATCGTATATGTTGGCATGTTGCGGTGAGCACGGCATGAGCTGCTGACTTCTCACTGCCTGACTAGTCAGCGGTTCTGCTGCACTGCATACAAAAGCTGAAGCTTCCAGGCACCGGCATGACATATCTGACGAAGATCAGAGGGGCGGCGTTCTGGGAAATGATGAGGCCATGAGGCATTTTCAGCAAGTTGTAATGAGGCATCACAAAGCAGCTTTGCCTAATTGGAAGTGAGCTGTGTCTCACATAGGAAGTGGAAAACAAAGTTTGCCCTCCAGGTGAATGACCTTCACTCGGATGAGACTGTTTGAATGAGACCACCGAGGGTATGTTGAGATGACTAGTACTGTCACAAAAATAAAAAGGAAGTGACACGCATAGACACACACAAAGTAAAAGGTGAAAAAGAAGTGTTTACAGGAAGTGTGACTTGTCTTCTCCATATTCCTTTAGGAAAGAAAATGTTGCTAATTTGTTAATTGTTTCTCTTAGACAATGATGAGATTAGGAAAGAGCAAATGGAGACAATTAAGTTTGCTGTTAGGGTTTCCTGAGAAAAATAATCTCAAATATGAGAAAAATAAGAAAAACATCTCTTCTCTGAAGTTTTAGATATCTCAAAAATGTCTCAAACTATGCTCTAAATTGCCAAGATATGAAAGTGTGCAATTAAATGTTAATTTCAATACGAACTCCAATTTAAATTCTTTAAAAAGTCATCTGAGCACTGCTTTCAACATAAATTTTGTAGCTTACAATATGTCTGCAAATGTGACCCTTGACCAGAAAACCAGTCATAAGGGTCAATTTTTTAAAATTGAGATATAAACATTATCTGAAAGCTGAAAATGCATTGTCAATCTTTCTATCTACATCATGATCAAAAGCTACAATAAGGTATTCAGACATCAAAGCTCCATTCTGGGTGGCTACTACTACTACTACAAAAAAAAAAAAAAGCATTTTGGCACGGCATGTACTGAAACAACAAACACCATTACGGGTTACTAAAAAACAGTCAAACATCCAGCTAATCTGTTAATCCCGGCAAACCCAGTGTCAATAACAAGACTTTTCGCTAGAACCGCAGCCATCAAGACAAGAAAAACAGGAAGAAGCAACAATTCCCAAACTTGCATGATTTCTGAAGGATCATGTGACACTGAAGACTGAAGTAATGATTCAGCTTGTTCATAGGAATAAATTATAATTTAAAATATATCAAAACAGAAAAAAGGTATTTTAAGTTATAATAATATTTTCTAATATTACTGTTTTACTGTATTTTTGATCAAATTATTGCAGCCTTGCTGAGTACTTCCTAAACACTTTTTAAACAGTAATGTGTGTGTGTACACTATATATAAGCTGTATATATATTGTATATAGGCTTAGATTATAAACAAGCTACATTTAAGAGAATCTCAAAGGCCAAGATTTCAAAAGCTAAAAATGTATTTTATTTATTTGCTTTTAAGCACTAAAGCCATTTTTACTTACACTTAAATATGTTTTTAGCTACATTCTTGGAGTAAAAAACAAGACAAGTGTCAATTCTATCCATTATCCTTTAAGGGCAATATGAATATACAAGATACGCATGAACTAGATCAGTCAGCTCATGTAACACGTCCCACTAAACCTCTCGTTTTATAATCAGAAAAACATTTGGGAGCTCAGTGAACAATGTAATTATTCAGCATCCCATAATACTCTGGTACACAGCTTATTACTGCATTTCAACAGCTGTGTTTGAGTTCACAAGTGAGTAGTTACATAATCTTAGCACTATCGATGGGGTCACTCCTAAAACCCACAAGCCTCTTTTCAAAGAAGCTTATTCGGGAGATTCTTGGAAGACACATTTTTTTCGAGAAGGTAGGAGAAAAAACATGAATGTTATGCATGTGTATTTTATGAAAATATCGATTTTCATTCCATGAAAAATGGAACTCACGTTCCAATGCACATTCTTATATCGGTACCGATAACGACATGAAATAAGACAACAAACTGTTGATGTTTATCGTGCATTGACGAGGTTAAAACATGGCATAACATGGTAGGAAATTGACGATTTCTAAGGACTGGCAGCCAAATAACAGAATTATTTAGGTCAACGTAAAGAACTGTAAAAGCCCATAAAATGCATCCGTCACATGCCAATGCTCGACATATCAACTTCTACCCAATTTGACCAGCCCCCAACCAGCAAGGCTTTTGAACTGCCAGAAATTACTGAAGCTCTAAAATGGTTGAGTACAGAGACAATTAAAATGGAACAAGATTTTAAAAACATTCGCCAAGGTTAGTGCAGAAATAATCATGAATTTTGAGGGCCCATAAAAAATTCTAGATCTATCTATCCATCTATACACACACACACACACACACACGCAGGTTTGTTTTTGTGAAAAGTGGGGACATCCCATAGGCGTAATGGTTTTTATACTGTACAGACCGTATATTCTATTGCCCTACACCAACCCTACCCCTCACAGGAAACTTCCAATACAGTCCATTCTGTGTGATTTATATGCGTTTTGAAAAGTGGGGACATGGGGTAATGTCCTGAAAAGTCACCTTCTCCTTGTAATACCTATGTCATACCTTTATCATTATACAAATTTATGTCCTCATTTGTCACAAAAAAGCACACACACACACACACACACACACACACACAACTCAAGCACCTGACTCTTTAACTAAATGAGTGAAACTAGTAAAATAGCTATAAAATAAGCAACCCAAAGCCTAGGACAATGGTCAGTTACACAGTTTGGTGGTCATTATACAAAAACATTTGCAGAATGCCTCAACTGACAGAATCAAATATTCCAAGTTGTGATACATACTATGCATACCATAAATATTGTTTGGATGTGTTTGAACTGTCCACAAATCTTTTAATTTGTGAATCTTTTTTTTCCCTTGAGAAATCTTTTAAACTAATTTGTGAACATAGTCAAACAGTTTCTTAAAATTAAAATGTTATGCCAATGTCCTTTCAACCATTGAAATTGATTTCCTCCAATTAACAACAAAAAAAAAATACTTGACTATTTATTATTTACTGTTTATGTCTTGTACGATTAAAATTTATGTGTTATGCGTCCAGCAGCATGTGGAATGATAACAACACGTTTATAGTGTAAATTAATTCCTTTTGTTTGCCAATAAATGTTTAGATTAATCAAGGCAGTAACATAAAGCAAAATATTCATTATTTAGAATATACTGTCTTTATCATGCTGCTTCTCAAGCTAACATTTAGCTCTTTCTTGTGCTAAAGAACACACTAATGCACTAAATTAAATATACACACAAAAATATACAAGTTTTAATATACAAGAACCTTCGATTCATGAACATGGAACCATTAGATTCCACAAAAGGTTCTTAATAGCAGAAAAGGGATCTTTAGATTTTTCAAATGTTTTTCACACTAAGAAAATATGGGGTCTTTTTAAGAACTGTTCACTAAAATGTTCTTTGGGAAACCAAAACTGGTTCTTCCGGTTCTTTGGAACATTTCTTTTTAAGAGTGACTTATAAATCGCAAAAATTCTAATTTTCTCATTGCATCTCTACTAACACAGATTATCAGATCCGCCCATTCACACAGAGATTGTTGGGATGTCAAACAGCACATGTCACCACCCAGTAACAGGGTGGAATAATGGATCTTATAATATAAATTCACAACCTGACAGAGCCATTAAATGAAAAAATGTTAACAAAAGCACTCATAAAGACCTCTACCCTCCACCTGACCGCAGGGCACGGCGTGTATTCCTCACCCAGCGTGTGTTTATGTACATCTGCTCCCACACAAAGGACAGAACAGGGAAGCTGCGCAGAGTTAAAAGCCCTGATCCGTTCATAGGGACTGAACACCTCAGTTACCAGCCACAATCCCTGCTGACCGCAGCAGCATGCTTTTTACCATCGATTAATGCCTCGATAATGCCGACAAAGGCAGGGGGAGCGCTGTGACTCCCTCATCTCTCCCTCGGCTGCTTTCATTCTTTCAGCATGGAAGCTCTGTAATGAGATGCCATTCAAGCACAATGCAGCGCTCCCATAACATACTCCATCCGCTGAGATCTGGATCTACAGCGCGCCAGTCAGAACCACAGGGATTCTGAAACTAAATACTCACCAGGCATGCTGTCAGGATCCCCGGTCCCCTGGTGATGAAGACGAGGATGAGGAAGGCAGCTCACAGCTCCATTTTGCTACCTCTGCTGCGGCTCGGAGCCATTGGGAACAGAGGACACATGCAGCCCCGCTCGCAGTGGCTCACACACACACACACACACACACACACACACACACACACACACACAACCGCATGCCCCCACCTCTCTCCACCCACTCCTCGGCCTTCTTGT